CGGTCGCTTGTCGCCGGTGAGTGCGCGCGACGATGGAGAATTGGTGCGCAAAGAGCCGCATTCATTTTGGAGCCTCATCTATCTTCCACCATAGTTTCCATTCGACCTTTATCTGATTGAAATCTTGTCGCTTCCAGCAACGTTTGCGAATAGAGCCATAAGTTTTTAAATAATCAACTCTTTCTCTTACTGTGCCGCACTGACTCCAGCCGTTCGTCATCTGACTTGTCGGGCTACCGGGCTACACTTTACACTTGCAACAGCAATATAACTTCTGAATAAATATTGTATACCACCATGACACCACAACCAACTACTAACGAAATGGCTCCACAGGAGCGTCACGCCGAAATATGGGCGACCCGGGTGCAGCGAGAGCTTTTGGCCTTGACGACGGACGACTCTGGAGCGTCTACGGCAACCAAGGCCATGCTACCCCCCTTTGTTTCCTTGCAGAGCCACGACTTTGACCTTGGCACTGCCACTTGCACGATTGACTTTAGAGTGGAAATCATGACCACGACCATGGTCAAGACGGTGACGGTGCAGCTGGACGTGAGCTTGCCCAAGAATGCGGACGGCTCGCTCATGCACACGCCAACCTGCTATCCCTTTTGCGAGCCAATGGCGAAACTACTCACAGGACAAGAGTATTTTGCGAATGGATCGACCATTCAGAATGGTGACTTGATTGCCATTGATATTGAATGGACGCCGAGTCTGCATTTGGTAGGTTAATTTAGTGCGGAAGAGTTGAATGGGTTTCGACGTTGATGTTTGGAAATGCACGTATTTCCATGAATCAGCAACGTAACTGACAGACTACTGACACTCAATTTCTCTCTATATACACGCAGGCTGACGCCATTGTGAACATTAGTCTCAAAATCAAGGAAAGCTTTCTGCAGGGCGAGCCCTTCCACGCCGCACCTCCGCCGGAACTGGATCCGGTCCAAGAGTTGGAGCAAAGCGCGCGGCGCATCGCCTCCTCGGCGGGTAAAATGGCGTCTAGTTTGGCAAAGGCTGTCTCCGCACTGGGTTCTCCCGCGGCCAAGGCTCCAAAATTGCCGGGCCGCAAGAAGCAGTCGAGAAGGAAGCAGCAGCAGCAAGAGTCGGCATCGTCGTCAGAGGTGCGCATGGGACAGGAAATCAACTTGCTCAAGGAGCCTTGGGTGGACGCGCATGGAGTCTACTCGTGCAAGCCAATCCGACGACCCGATTTCATAGTGGATGCAATTGCGCATGCCGAAGCCAAGGCCGAGCATCAACCTGGCTTTAGCTCGCCGACGGCCATGTTCAAGTCAATGACCAAAAAGGCGGGTAGTGTTTTGCAGGAGTCCTTTTTGATGGTGACCGAAACGCACATTATTGAAATGAAGTCAAGCAAGCTTGCACCAACGACAGCGACGGTCGAATTTTGTATTTCCATTGACCTCATGCACAAGCTCAAGTTTCGACGCGGAGAGTCAGTATCGCTTTTTTTCAAACCAGCACCGGAGGACCCACTCATTTACATGTGTCCCGATTCCAGCGACGCCGTGCATCAGATTCAAACTGTGCTGCGGCGACATGGTGTCAAGGGCAAGCATACAAACGCAGCGGCGCACAAGGCGATACAAGAGGCCATGCACTTGGTGCAGGAGATTCAAACCAAGGAACTGGCGCTCAAGCATGACCCCTCCAGGGAGCGGGTGAATGAAATCATGGACTTGTACCGCCAAGCGGCGGAGCGTTTTGAACTAGCGGGAGATACGAGGCACGAGGAGGTGGTGACGCATATGCGCAAGTTTCTGGATCTGCCACTGACAGCTAGCATAATAGACGGCACGTTCAAAATGCCGGAACGAAGACTCAAAAAGCAACAACAAGGAGCAGTACCACAGGGAGAGATCTTGGAGAGATGTTCGTTGCAGCTGGAGGACGATGATGACATCTTTTCGCCTGTCGGAAAGAAGCCTTCATTGGCTGACCGGTCTTTTGAAGATGACATTGACGATATGCTAAAAGAGGCGGAAGCAGATCTGGAAGGCTACAAAACATCTGATACGTTGGCGACGGACGATATGTCTGTCGAGTCAGACGGCGCGTTGGCAGATATTGCCGCTGATTTGGAGTCCATGATGAAGGCAGCCGACGAGGAGTTACAAGAGCTCATGCGGAGTTAAGTTATATATATATTTCACATGCGTCTATTAGCACTACAATAGCAGACATCTTATACATGGGTGTTGCTGGAGTGTGCCACTAGGACTGCTTCAAATTTGTGGCCCCAGGCTTGTCCATAGTAGCAGGCTGCCGCCATGACCCACTCCAAAGAACAATAAGGTATACCTTGCTGGCTGGCAGATGACAAGCATTGTTTCATGATGTAGAAAGTGCAATGCATTCATCTCTAGCCCATGTTGTATCCAAGTTCTGCGAGTAAGACCGCCGAATTTGCTGCCCAAGGTTTGTCCATAGTAGCAGGCTGCCATGACCCATTCCATAAGCCAATAATGTGTACAGGCATTGTTTCATTAAGTAGAAAGTGCAATGCATTCATCTATAGCCCATGTAGTCTCCAAGTTCTGCGAGTGGGACTGCCTGAATTTTGTGGCCCCAGGCTTGTCCATAGTAGCAGGCTCCCGTGACCCACTCCAACGGCCAATAATGTGTACATTGATGGCTGGCAGCTGACAGGCATTGTTTCATGATGTAGAAAGTGCAATGCATTCATCTATAGCCCATGTAGTCTCCAAGTTCTGCGAGTGGGACTGCCTGAATTTTGTGGCCCCAGGCTTGTCCATGGGACCCACTCCACAGCCACTAATGTGTACATTGATGGCTGGCAGCTGACAGGCATTGTTGAAGAAAGCATGCATTCACTAGCCCACCCCTGGAGGGACTGTCTGTTGCCCAGGCTTGTCCATAGGAGGCTGACCCACTCCAACAGCCACTAATGTGTACATTGATGGCTGGCAGCTGACAAGCATTGTTTCATGATGTTGAAAGTGCAATGCATTCATCTATAGCCCATGTAGTCTTCAAGTTCTGCAAGTGGGACTGCCCGAATTTTTTGGCCCCAGGCTTGTCCATAGTAGCAGGCCCTGTGACCCACTCCAACAGCCACTAATGTGCCCATTGATGGCTGGTAGTTAACAAATACTGTTTTATGATGTAGAAAAACAATGCATTCATCTCTAGCCCATTTATGTTTAGTCTCTAAGTTCTGCCACTAGGACCTGACCGCCTGAATTTTGTGGCCTTGTCCGTAGTAGCAGGCTGCCATATCCCACTCCAAAGCCAACAAGGTATCCATCAATGACTGGCAGTTGACAGGCATTGTTTCATGATGCAGGCAGCATCTTGATTGAGTTTATAAAATGTCTTGGTGGGGCGGAACGACTGGTAGCTACGTGTCGTAGCATCACTCATGCTGCGACATGGCTTGCAGCCATGCACCGTCGCAACTCGGATTTCCAATTTCGCTCATCTCCAACTTTGCTTGCTCGTCCACCATGCCATCTCGAGCCAAGCCGATAGTGCTTGCTTCCGTTGAGAAGAATGTCATTGACGTCGACGACGATGAGGATGCTGACGACGAAATCGTTCGCGAGATTGACGTTTACTTGTCGCCCGAACTGGCCTCGCAGCTGTATTTGTTGCAGTATCCGCTCGAGCACGGCACCGCCTACGTGCTGCCGACGGAAGCTCGCATGAAGCCGCAGCACAACATGTTGGAGCTGAGTGAACCGTTTCCGCAGAATGCAGAGTTGCAAGGGGAGTACTGTCATTTGGAAAGCAGAATCTTTACAAGTCAAACCATACCGGTAACGACTCACCTTTGCGTCGGCAAGCTCAAGGAAAGCGAGAATGGAACTGCTCTGCATTTGGTTCCACTCAGTCATATTGCTCAAATGCGACCAAGCTTTGGACATTTGGAGGTTCAAGACGCGGTGGATCCATTGTATGAGACTGACGACGACGGTATGCAAAGCGAGGAAGACAACAAGGCCGCCGCCGCCAAGCAGCAAAACAAGCCAATCATCTTTCAACGCAAGGAAACGGAGCGTGCTGCAAATGCACGACGATCCAGTTACGCTTTCATGAAAACGAGCGAAGAGTCGGAGCCATGGGTGGATTTAAATGTGCGCGCCAAGGGATCTTTGGAATATCGAAACGTCATGAGCAATGTATACTGCTCGGCCATTAACAATAACGTAATCCTTCACGATGACTTGTCGGAGGCTGCCTACATTGAAAGTCTCAACTATATTCCAAAGGATGGGATTGAAACTTTGACAGATCCGGCAACAGAGACAGAAACTGATTTGAAGAGCATTGTCATTCAGTTGACGACAATCATGCTTGCTGGATGTCCAATACCCTATTCCATCCTTCAAAGTCAGATTTCGGCCCGCGTCAGCAACCAAGACTTGTTTACTGCGCTTTCAGTCTGCGCAATATTAGTAAAAGGCAACTTTTGCATTCAGAGCAAGCTCATGAACCTGCCCAAGCCAATGCAGCGAGCGCGAACCTTCATTTTGATGCTGCTCAACAAAGGGACGATTGAGCGGGCTCGATTGGACCGCGCATTCGACGGCAAAGTGTCGTCTCAGCGTCTCCTGTCGTTACTGCAGCAAACTGGAAGACTGACGGCGGACGGTTGGACGCTCAAGGTGGAGGAAGACGTTTCGTTCAGGGCGCAATATCCGGCGCAGGCTAAAGCAAGCAAGGTGGCCATGGACAAGCTGGAGGCAAAGTTCAAGTTGGAATTGAAGCAATACAATTCCTCTAATTTATAACGTATAGGTCATTGGTAGAGCCTATCAGACATGCTGCGCGAGGTTACATGTTATGGCATTCCATCATAATTGATGCCGTCATCACCCCGCCGCAGTAATAGCAGTCAATATATTCCTAGGTAGGTAGTTGAGTTTCCTGACTTGCCAAGGTCGATCAATGCAAGAAAAATCTATCTGAACAGCGTTCATATAATGACAAACACCTACAATCTGCACGACATAGTGGCCGAGTGGTTAAGGCGACTGACTAGAAATCAGTTGGGAATTTCCCGCGTATGTTCGAATCATGCCTATGTCGTTTACTTTTGCCGAATTTATCTAAAAAGGAGTCTTTCGATGCTTGCTTATTTGCTTTACAAAAGAGAGTAATGTATCGGCATTTGAGCGTTATACATAGATATAGCAAGGCGACTAACAGGTTGCAAACGACTAATGCTTGACGAATGCATTTGGGTCCCCCACAGCTGGAGATACCCATTGTTTAGGCTACTTGGGTATCAATCCTCAGCCTGCTCCCATTGTTGGCAGCAGTCTCTTGCAGTATTGTCCGCCTGCTAGTGAACTATATCAGCGCCGGTAGTGTAGGCAAGAAATTAAGCTATGTACCGGGACATTATTTACACTGACATTTAGCCACAGCACACAGCGGTCAAGCAAATTATGGTACTCTACTTCAAACAGATAACAAACCATAAACTTAATTCAAGCATTTACTCAACGTTTGTTACTACTTTCAATTTACTCCTCCGCTGATGTTGCCTTGTGATTGCCCCGTCCCTTTTTGATTGGCACTGGCTTGGTGATTCCCTTGGCGCGTCGGTTCGCTTGGTACACCTTGGTATACTTGGCGAGTGCCGCAGCCTTGAGGTCCGGACGATAGTAATTGTCCACCGTTTGCTTGACGATAATGTTTTCCGACCGACGAAAGTCCTTGCCGACGCTGGTGCTCGTCATGGCTTTGTTTGGCTTGGTGTGGCACTTGCTGGCCGACTTGGTGACCAAGACGGCTCCATGTTTCTGGGTAAAGACAATGTCAGTGACTTTAGCGTTGGCGATCCCACTGTATTTGAGCTGGTTGATGCTCTTGAGGTTGCCCCTTTCGACGGAGAATTGAATCGCGCCGGATCGCTTGGTGTGACCATTCTTCTTCTTCAAAAAGGCATTGTTGCGTCGGGTGAGTTCCCAGACTAGCTGATCAGGAATGGCGACCATTTTGTATAGTAAGACAATTGATGAAAGTGACAAGGAAACAGAGTCGAAGCAGATCAAGACAGGCGATGAGGCTCGATGTCGTCTCGTGGTGTTGGCTCGAGTCGGCTTCCGGGTCTCCTTAGGTTTTAGTAGAACGGTAAGTGACAGCGGCCGTCCATCGCGACAGAAACTGCTTGTCGCAGACGGTTCATCTCGGACTCGCCTTCCAACTCTTGTTCACTTACTCAACGTTCATATTCATTCACCATGGGAGCTTACAAGTACATGGAGGAGCTGTGGCGCCACAAGCAGTCTGATGCGCTCCGCTTCTTGCTGCGCGTCCGCGCCTGGGAGTACCGCCAGCGACCCAACATTTGCTCGCTGCACCGACCCTCGCGGACCGACAAGGCTCATCGTCTTGGTTTTAAGGCCAAGCAGGGTTACGTCATTGTGCGCGCCGGAGTCAGACGTGGAGGACGCAAGCGTCAGAATCATAGAGGTGAGGTCTTGGAGGATATTGTTGATGAAACAGGCGACGTGCCATAGCATATTCGAAACTTCATCTCACCTTAATTCTATCCCATTTACTGCTACTATTCTACAGGTATGGTCTTCGGTAAGCCCAAGAACCAAGGTATCAACCAGCTCAAATTTGAACGCAACTTGCAGTCCGTCGCCGAGGAAAAGGTCGGCCGCCAGTACAGCAACTTGCGCGTGCTCAACTCCTACTGGGTCAACCAGGACGCCACCATGAAGTACTACGAAGTCATTCTCGTTGATCCAGCCCACAAGGTCATTCGCAACGACCCACGCATCAATTGGATCGTCAATGGAGTGCACAAGCACCGCGAATGCCGGGGACTCACATCGGCGGGACGCAAGGGACGTGGACTGCGCAAGAAGGGACACCGCGCCAATGGCATTATTGGAGGATCCGCCCGGGCATCCTGGTTGCGACGCAACACGATGCGCCTCAAGCGTTATCGTTAGATACTCTCGCTGTGGCGTCGTGTTATTATATAAAGTTACTGTAAGGCTTTTTAATCCGTTATCGAGCTATCAAGGTAGCCTTTGTATCGTTTCGCAATCTTGTAGACCTTTTCATTAGATGGCAAGAGCAATACTTCTACATTAACATGCCACAACATCCAACGACTTTCTTACTCTTTGCTTAAATATCTCTAGGATTATGAATTACCTCCTCTCGCCTTGACGACGATGACCGCGAAGCCTTGGAGCCCCGCGACGTTCTCGACATGCCTGTACGAGTCGAATCGCGCGACGTTCTCGATGCCCGCGACGAGTCTTCTCCCTTCTTTTTCTTCTTGGTTCGAACTTGTTGAAATCCCTCCTGATCGGTCAACAAGCCTCCGTATGGATCAATGTCAAGCTCCTTCATGACGCGCGCCATGCCTCCCCACTGGCATAGTCCCTTTTCGCGAACGTAAAACAGCAGATATGCGCCACCCAAAATGGATGCTTCGCCACTGGTCCGACCAACATGCGAGTCATTGTATCGATACCATTGGTTGTCAATCGAGTTGCGGACGGTGGCAGTGTAGTGACCAGAATTGGCGGTTGGTCCAACGTGCTCACTGACGCCAAAGAGCTTGTAAACGGGAGGCGCATTCGAATCTATGGGTCCAAGGACGTGTTCCGACAAGTCAAGTCTATGGACTGGGAATTCGACCGTGTCATCCATCTTGTAGCGAATCATGTTGCCCGTCGGCATGCAGTGGTCAAACGTAAAGCGCTTGAGGTGTATGATCAACACATCCGGCACAGTCCATAAGGCAATCATCTTGAGAGCGCAAACGTGTTGTCGACAGGTAGGACAGTACCATGCATTGTGTTCGTCCAGTTGCTCGCCTTCCATAAACTTTTCCAGGCAGTCTTCGAGCTTGATGACGGATCTGTTCTTTTGCTGGACGAGCGGGACAGAGATGGAACTAAAGACGTCAAATTTGATCGATTCCTCTGCCTTGACAATGGTCTACGACAAGACTGTCATGTCGAAGCAAGTGTTTTCGCCAAGACTCAATGGCAGCCTTGGCGTCTGGCATTCCGCGCCCCTCCAGTTCCTCAACGTACGGTTTCGTTTTGACTCGATTTAGATCTTCGTGCAAGCCATCCATTAGAAATTGACAGAACTCGTGACTGTCGTGCTGATAGCAGTTGTCAAACTGTGGCGCAAAGGCTGCGACAGTCTGCTTCAGGGCGCGAGGCGCTTGTATGGAATATTCTCCGCTCCAAATTCGCTTGAGAAGACTCGCGTAGGCTTGTGCAACATTGCCACCGCTTCCAAGCGGGTTTCGCGTGTTCAAGTCATCGACATATCTGTCGTTCAAAAAGTATTGGGTCAACGGTTCAATGTGATTGAGACATTGGATGATGCTGTTCATGAAGCAACTATTTCCCAAATTCTGAAGCCCCACGGCGCCAGGTCCGGGCGGCATACCGCGAAGCGACTCGCGCATGAAACCTGCCCCAAGCATGGGGTGCTTGGCGTTCAACACTTCCACTGGTTTGCGTTTGCCATCCGTTTCGTAGCGAATTGTCACTGGCCCGACAAGGCTTGTTTCAATCTTCAAATGCGTTCCGTACAAGCACAATTCTTCTCCGTATAGGTTGATCCATCTCAGAAAAGGAGGCTGTGGAGTTAAACCAGCCGCAAGATCAGCTTCGCCTGGGGATGTTGCCGCATTACCTGCCTTTGTGTTTTGCTCCTGATCAACCTGCACGAGGACCTGCTGCGTCCGCCTCAACAATATCAAATGTTCCTTTTTGTCGCTTTGACCATTCAAAGAATACTCCTCCAAAATGGCGCCTCCTACAACTTGACGTAACGGATCGTTTGCGCCTCCAACGCTCTTGATTTCTCCCCTGTACCACTTTGGTCGATCGACCCGACTGGACACGTCTCGTACCTCGACAATCTCTCCGACGCGCACTCGTTCTCGCCATCTCCTCGTCCTCGACCACAGTGGTGCTGGACAAGAAATTTTTGTGTTCAAACCTTCAACTGGTGCCACGTCTATTCGCCGCTTTATTGTAGTATCCCATCGCGATGCCCATCCAAAGTAGTGAACAGTGATTGTATCTGCTTCAATCTTGCGTACGATTGCTTCGTACCACTTTCCGGCAACATCTTGTGCATCCACATAGTCGCCGACTTGAATGCGGTTCATGAGTTCCAATTTATGTCGCGGCCATGGCACGTTGATTGTTTTGCGTGACTCCACCATTACGTGCAACGTTTTTCCGCTGGCAGTGTTTGCCGAGTGTTGGTCAACCCACTCCTGAACGGTCTGTTGTATTTTTTCGCCAGTAGATCGCTTTATCATTTCCTCCAAATATTTAAAGTCAACCAGCTCATATCCATCTCCCGATTTTGTCGCGTTATGGTTGCGATGTCTGCTCCATAGTCGCACCGACGAGCTTCCCTTGTCTGGCTCGACAGACTTTAGCAGTGCCGTCAGAGCATCAATGGCCGCCGACTCGCGCGATACAAGTACAAATCCATCCTGAGGTCGCTCATCAAACGATTCATATGCATTTTCTTCGTGTACAATGCTATAGGTCAATTTCAATGGATGCACGTCAACGCAGGATGAATTTGACTGCGACTCTCGTTCCGACTCCTCCTGCATGAGTCGTTCCATGAGCGATTCATGTTCCGCCTTTCGCGACGTAGGCTTTGGACTCGTTCGAACCACTTTGCGTCGAAACTCTACCGGTCTTGCTGGCGCGTCCATTGCAGATTGTCGCGTATGCGAATGATGCAGCAGCAGTCGTCGCTCGCTCATTGGCGGCTGAAAGGAAACGGAGTAACCATCCTCGCACACGACGCCATGCACGGCTCGTATCGTCTCGTAAAAGGCTTCTGGAACTGACACGCATTCAATGCGATCGTCCGCCACAACGGTCGAGTCGTCGGCGGGTGATCCAAGCGCGTATCCGTTTTCCTTGCTGCCCGTCCATTCGTTGCTTGGGGCCGATCGCACCCTTGGAAGACCTCTAGTAGCTGGCTGTCGAATATCCTTGTGTATTCTGACAAAAGGATTTAATAGCAATGGATGACCTTCAATGGATAGTCTCGTCGAGTCG